AAAATATAAAATTAAATCAAAAATAAATTAATCAACTAAACTAAATTTAATAGAAGACTGTGTACGGGTAATCAATATAACAACTTTTTTTGACGCTAAACTGATTAATATTGTTATTGGCTAACTAGATAAAGAGCTATACATATTTTTTTTTATTTTTTCAAAAGAGTCATATTGAAAATCAATGCCAAAGAGAATGTAATCACTATGTTTATCAATGCGATCACTGTAGTCGTTGATAATTTTACAAAAATTAGCAAAAGGAGAGTTACGACCTAAAACTGTTCTTCGTAATGGAGGACAAAGCGGTGTGATGTGTGTGGCTTTGCGAGGAATTCGTGAAGGAACACGGAAATTAAGAAATTTTAGCAGTTGAGGACTATCGATTTTGTTTTTTAAGATTTTGCTTACAAACTGCGCATCATTAACTATTCTTCTACTTAACAGTGAGTTCATATTGAAATATTGAAGTCTGTTTTTATATGACCGTACAGTTTTCGAGTTTCCTACAGAGAAAGACAGGTGCCACATAAATCGCTTTTGTATTCTCTCTATGCGCAGTGAATGTGTAGCGTAGTGAGGTCGCCAAACAATACTGCAGTATTCCAATATACTTCAGACTATATTGTTATAAAATAAAACTTTTGTTTTGTAGTCCTTAAAATATTGACAGTTTCTTATAATAAATCCTAATACCTTTGATGATTTTCTGATGATGTTGTCTAAATGGGGGGCCAAATGTTAACTTTTTATCGAAGATCACTCCAAGATCCCGTACCGTGTCAACTTCTTTTATAGTTTTATTATTAATATGATAATCGGAGATTATTATTTTGCGTTTTCGAGAAAATTTTATATGACGACACTTTTCAGGGTTTAATTCCATTTTGTTAACTTTGCACCATTTAACAAGTTTATCCAGATCGCCCTGTAACAGTGCAGTGTCCTGCTCTACCTTTACTATTTTTAAGAATTTCAAATCATCGGCAAACATGAAAACTTCAGAGTAAGAGAAACATTCTGGGATGTCATTAATGAATATGTTGAAAAGTATTGGACCCAAATGCGAGCCTTGCGGAACCCCTGAGGTGATAGGTTGTACTTTAGATTTATAACCATTACCAACGACGAAAAATTGCCTACATTCCAAATACGACGCGATCCATTCCTCAAAGGAACTTGACAGTCCATAAGCGCGGAGTTTGGAAACCAAAAGTTGATGAGAAACTTTGTCGAATGCCTTACTAAAATCTGTGTATATTACATCAGCCTAATATCCTGAGTCAATTGCTTCGGTTAACACTTCAGTAAAGTGGACTAAATTTGTATTTGTAGATCTTGACTTTATAAATCCATGTTGAGGATCACTTAAGTACAATTTCAAGTGATTCTAAATGAGGGCATATTAAAGATTCGAATATCTTTGAAAAGGTGGAAAGAATAGAAATCGGTCTGTAATTAGTAATATTATCTTCAGATGCCGACTTATAAATTGGGACAACCTTGCCAGTTGTCCATATTGATGGGAATGTTGCAGTAGAAAGGGATTTATTAAAAATTTACGTTAATGGATAAGCTACCTCGGAAGCACAATTGAAAATAAAAGTAGGTGGGATTTCATCCGGCCCCGCACCTTTGGTACAATCTATATTTTGGAGACTTTTGAGAACTAAGTCTTGGTTTAGGGTAGGAATTATCAAACACATGCTATTATTATACAAATTTGCAAAATTTGTATAATAACAGCGTGGATAATGGAATTTAATAAATTGTATCGATTTATGTACATATGTACTCCGTGGATTCCAAAACAGTTGTACCGATTTGGATTAAATTTTCAGAAAATCTTCAGATTAGCACGGATCAGATTAAATCGGAACAACAAATTTTGCTTTTGCATAATTAGTCTTAATTAGCGACCCGCCCCTTGCAAAATCGGGGTGAGGCGCTAATAAGACTCATTATAAAAAATGCTATAGCAATAAACTGCATCATATTTATAATTTTTAACGACCTTGGCGCCTTTATTGTGCCCTATAGTGTGACGAAGCATAGGTATCAGAAGTCAAGTATTCTGTAAATAAAACTTTTCATTTATTGTATTCTTAAAATAATGCCATTATTTACCTTCGATTTATTATTTTTTCCAGTGTCTCAGTCAATGTGTGTTTGCTAATTTACATGTGGTAAGTTATTGTATGATTTCAATGTGCTATGTAAACATTACATGTACTTAAAAATTATATTCGAACAGGTTGACTCTCGAGGAATACCGCGCGAAGCTGATTTATGGAACAAAGTTCAATCCACGGTAAAATCACAGCAATCAAGAGCTACATTTCAAGATGAAATCCGAGCGTGTTTTCAAGAACTACAATCAGGTATTTTTGTAGATAGGTGAACAAAAACGCTGCGGCATTCGAACCCGCGTCTTCCGGATAACGCGCCCAGACGCTTTACCAAGCGTTTAAGCTAAACGGCCACTTACCTCATAGCGCGACTATATAGACATCTATGTTCGTTATTTGTATTTTTAGTGAAGCTTGGCGCCATCTAGTGTACAGTTACACCATGAAACACCTTACAAAGATTTGTTTGACCATTTAATGTTGAACGTTTTTATAGAGAGATGTCGCCTCTGGACGCATCTTGAGTATAGAAACTAGAACTAAAAATAAATCTTACAATCATCAAATTAAAAATTACCTACATACGAGAGTGGCTATAAAATTCTGAGCTTAGATTAATTGTATCATTTATTAAAATCCGCTTTTCTGTAAAAGGAGAAAAGACGAAAATTACCGTTAAAAAATAATATATATCGTGTATCTATTTCTTCGTCTTCGTATTATATTTCTCATAATACAAAGAGCATTATGAGGGCTTAAACTGTCTGAAAAAAGTCGTTGGATGCTAGATCTGAGAGTGGACTGGGGTAGTTGACGTCATCGATGCCAGTTTCACGTAATTCCCATCTCGCAAAACGTGGCCTGTGAACGAGTGCATTGGCAAGTTTTACCCCTTTTCCGTCCATATCATAGGTATCCACTAAATTAGTTTTGATTCTGGATGAAATTATCATAATTCAGGAATAATTTACTGGACGTTACAGATACCAAGGACATTTAAGTTATCCCAACAATCCAAGTCTAATGTACTTTAAGTTCAGCAGAGTTTACTAACATGCCCAAGGTTTCGTCCATGATTGCATGTATTGGATTCTTTGAAAGTTGCAGCGATGATGATGATAGGTGAGGTGAACGACTGGGGGTCATAGGACCCTCTGATGAGGGGGGGGGGGGGGGGGGCTTTGTCGGAAATACATAGTTTTTTATGATTTTTTTTATAAGGCAACCATTTATGATATCCCGGCGCTGCTGTCGCTACGGGTTGCGTGATGCCTGTGCCTTTGTCACGACAAGCGGGGGCTACCCTCCCTCCGCGCCTTCTGGCTCTAAAAAAACACTAACGGTAGGTTCTATCCTACCGGGGTTGACAATGTTGGTTCTGAATTCAAGTTCGTTGTAAGGCCACATTTACTTTTAAATTACACACATTTTAACCAATTCTATAGTGTAGTTTTAAGTTAACAAATCTGAATGGCAAACTAGTTTTTTTTTTAAAGTACTCGTATGATGTGTGCTTTGTTCACTGGACATTCCACATATACATTATCCTCTATGCCAAAATAGTCTGAGCTACGAATGAAAATAGTTTGATATACAACTATCAATAATTCTAGAATAATATTTCCGAAACCATTCTTTTCTGGTATTGGTTGGCTATTCTAAGTCTGGTATACTTAGACACTTCTCTTATTCTACACTAGCGTCCCGCCCCGACTTCGCACGGGTGCAATATATTATACATAAACCTTCCTCTTGAATCACTTTATCGATTAAAGCCACATCAAGATCCGTTGCGTAGTTTAAAAGATCTAAGCATACATAGGGACAGACAGCCAGCGGAACAACTTTGTTGTATACTGTAGTAATTAAAATCACATGTATTGCACTCTTAAAGAAATAGTCAATTTTTCTAAATTTTAAAGTTGTATAAAAGTACTCAACTTTTTGCAGATATGTAATACTCAAAAAAAGTAATCTATTTTCAGAAGATGAAGATTATGGCTGCTCATATTCAAACAAACTCGAACGGTGTCTTATGTTGGGCTTAGCTGATCGCTTGAAACAAATTAAGAGTCATCAAAATTAGCTCCATTTGATAAATATTATCATACTAAAAATTTTTTTTATTATGTAAATATTATTGATACATATTATATTCAATGGCTTTTTTTTAGTTTATCACTAAAAATGACAGTCCTTAGATTATAAATATAAAATAACAGGGTAACCCGGATAAGAAAATGGTTGTGGATGATATACAACTGGTTTCTCCAAGCTCACATTCCCCAATTCATGTGGTAAAATTTGCTTTGGTAATGGCAGGACAAATCCTTGACAAACCTTAAATGTAAGCATTAGGTATTATTACAATTTAATAAAACAAAAACAAAATCATGAAAAGTTATGTTATAAATTTACCTAAATCACAGACACAACAGTTTCGAAAATGTAGACAAAGGTTCATGCAGTACAATAAATAATCTTCAAGGAGAACAATGGTGACTGATAAGCAAATACCTAGCTCACCCAAATAAGCGACTTATCTTGCATAGACACTTTTTTCATCCAATATTCAGACCCTTCAATCTTCTCAAAGCTACAATGATTTTCTCACTTGCAATAAGCCATTTAATATCTAAAATAGACTTATATACTCACATGAATACTAAAGTGCATTATAATCAAAGAGAGTAATAACAAATTAAAATTAAAATTTTGTTGTGTAATACTATTCAATGTTTTACACATCTTGCCAATTAAAGAGATGTGAAAGAAGGTTATTTCAATTAAAACAGCTATTCATAAAAGGTTTATTACTCACTTTTAATTAGTAGAATGAGTTTTATTATTCATAAATATTTTCTATGCTCAGTGTACCGCTGGGGCAAGGATAGAAAGTGTTAAAGTATTTAATGGTAGTGGTGAGCGATTAACGCACACTTTGGGCTGGGCTTGCATATGTTTGGACCATCTGCAAACATGTAATAAAGATTCTTGTTCTACAATATTTAACCGTTCCTGAAAACATAATTTTAATCTTTTTTATTAACATAATTTTAATTCTATATAGTTTAGAGTAATATAATGATTTTCAGTTTGACCAGCTACACATATCACATCAATAAATATAAGTTCACAGTAATTGTGAGTAGTCTACACTATACAAACATTATATTAAGAATTTCGTTATTATTTTGTACCATAAACATTTGACTTACTATTATAGGGTATAAAACATGATATGCTGCTATATCAGTGACAGTTAAGACATGTCCAGCTAAATATGTACTTTTTGCTAATGCTTCATTGATGCCCTGAAAAAATTAACATTAAAAACATTACTAGCAAAGTTCACACAAAGACACAATCTAATTATCCATTTAGATTTGGATCTAATTATAATACTAATTTATATATTTAAACTGGTTATGTGCAAAGAAAAACCTGAAAGATTAAAATTTATTCCCTTTATTTATATTGGGATCTATTAAAATATTTGAGTACATTTTTTTATGTACACTTTATTTATTATTATATCATATTGTACTTATCAATATTGCATAATTTTTCTATTGACAAGTATAAAAATGGTCAACATACAATCAAATCATTAACCTATTGGCAGTTTTGGACACTGCACCATAAGGGAACCCAGCCTTTGAATATGACAGTTTTTCATTTTTAACTGTCTTCTTTTGTTCATGGCAAAATCTTTCTTTGTTGGTAAATTTATAACTCTGTATATCTTCAATAGAAACCATAACTTGTGTGGATACACTCAATCATACCTGTAAAAAATTCTTAGCAAAAATCGGATTCAACATAGCTTGCTTGGCATACATAGCCAAATGTTCCAACCATTGATAACTTAGTAATTTTTGCTCCTGAGTCATTGTTGAACCACTTTTTAAGGCCAACTTTAGAATAATACTTGCAAAACCTTCAACATTTTCTTTATCAAGAACTGTTGTCAAAACCTGTGTTGGGGAAAATTTACAAGTTAAAATTAATTACCATTGCATGCTGGGTCAGAATTAAAGAAATACAGTAATGTTATGTTTTGGCATAGTTTGGTCAACTAAAATGAACTTCTGCTAATTCTTTAGTCCTAATTCTAGATAAAACGCTAGCAGTGTAAACCAATAAGATATTTTTTGAATTTCTTTCATATAGAATTACTAGCAAAAGTGCAGGACGAGACCAGGTTTAATTTTAGATATGACAAAATAGATTAAATATCGAGAAATTAGGTCGGTACGCCTTTACAAGCACAGGTTTTGAAAGCAATACAATAAATCATTAAAAATTATTACACACTTTATCTGTGTTATAGCAAACAGTTCCTACGGGAGTGCTGAGGTATTTCCCAACCGCTTTTACTACGTCCATCCCGTCTCAATTATTTTACTATCGCGGCTTGAACTAACAATTTTCTTTATAGTAATTCTATCATAACCACTTGACAAAAGACAATGTGTAATGTTATTAATGTAATGGTTTAATTTATGATTACATCTATACAAACATCCAACTTATTGAAAACAAGTAAAGATTTTAATGTTTAATGTAGTAAATTAGTGATAACTGATACTATTGACAAACCGAATTTCCTTCCCTTTACAGTTCACACTAGCGATGGGCGTTGAATCAACGAACTAGTTGAATCAACCGTTGATCTCTTGTTAACGAATTAACTATAGCTGTCATTGAAATCAACTAGTTGAATTCGTTAACGTCGTTTCGGAAATTTTGTCGTTGAATCAATTCGTTTAAAAATGCAGTCAACGATACCGCTAATTCAACGGAACATAAGCGTAACGAATTGAAAACCTTAAGTTGAAAAAAACTTACGTTGAAAAAAACGTCACAGAGTTGAGTTGAAATGTTTGTTTAATTTTATGAAGGACATCTTTAAGTTCGTTTTCTTTATTTTTGTTTGACAATTTGTGAATAGTTGCGCGCAAGGTAATAGAACATTTTACGGCTTTGCGTAAATATAATCAGAACTTTACTTCATGTTTAGCGGTTTTTTTTTTTTTTTTGAGAATTTGTTAATTTTTTAATTAGTTACCTATATTTTGAATTTTATTTTATGTTATTAGTTTTGTTTAAGTATCAGAATTTTACTTTGTGGTTAGTGTTTTTTTTTTTTTTAATGTTAATTTATGATTATTTAAGTGTATAGAGGATTGTGGGTACAAAATTCAAAATAATTGAACGTATTATCAGTGAGTTATGGCTTCATACCTAAAAAGACAGTTCTAGCGGAAAAGCTGTTTGTAATGTATGCGAGGAGAAAATATGGAACAAATTACATTAACTAACTTTAAAAAGTACTTGAAGCGGAAATATATTTAAATATTTTCATCAGTGTTTTAGTACCAATCTTCAGCGTATGATGGTTGATTTTGATAAGAAAAAAATTAGTTTCGAGGAAAAGAAAAAAAATTATTCAGATTTGTTAGATTTATGCATAGTTAGCTTTCATCCGTTTTCCCTAGTAGAAGAAAGGGCTTGCAATTTAACATACTTATGTATGTGTCACATTAACTAGTTGACGAATTTAACTAGTTGATCAACTAATTGACGAACATGAATCAATGTTAACGTTAAGTTGAAAAAAATACCTTCAACGACCCATCGCTAGTTCACACTACTGGTGCTATGCTAGCAGCGTGACCAAATTTCATTTGACGAATCTACTGCTTATCGAGGTTAAAAACTACTGAGTTCTAAAAGAGAACGAGAAGATTATAAAAATCAAGTATATTATAGTATCAAGTATATTGTTTGCTGTCGTGATAAAACCTAAAAATAAAAATTTTCTTGATTAAACGATAAAGACATGGAAGCTCACAAAAGATACAGTGCACAGAATGCGAGTCGCACAGCGAGCTATGTGGAGCGTTCCATGCTGTTCCATCAGGTTAAGAAATCGTATCCGCAATACCGAAATCCGTCGTAGGACGAAGGTCTGTGACGTAGGTGAACGGATAATGCGGCTCAAATGGCGCTGGGCGGGGCACATTGCTAGACATGGTGATAGCAGGTGGAGTAAAACGTTAACCGAATGGACACCTCGAGAAGGAAGGCGTGGTGTCGGCAGACCGCCTGCCCGATGGGTCGACGATATCAAAGCGATCGCAGAAAAAACATGGATGCGATACGCTCAAGACAGGGAAGAATGGCGCCAGAGGGAGGAGGCCTATGCCCAGCAGTGGGCTGATTCGGGCTGACTATGATGATGATGATGATGAATCGATAAAGAATAAAAATAACAAAGAAACAACCATAAGTAAAGAAAACAATGTTTTTTAAAAGTTAAATTCTAAATAAAAATATAATTAAAAAAATAAAATTAAACTTAAAGTTAAGATTCTTCGTCTTTATGTCGGGTAACATTGTCATAAAGCTGTTTTGAGTCCATACTATCATACTTCTGTCAGGATCAAATCTCCTATATCCTCCTTCCAACTGATGATCCTTCTTTTCCATGCATTATTGCATGCAACATTATTATTATTAAATCGATTTCGATCTTGATTTTTAATCCTATTAATATCGGAAAATATTCTTTCTACTTTGGCGTTTGACAAAGGTAGTATCGTCAGTCTATCATACTATGCTCACAGCACGAATGGTAACCAAAAGAATGAATTAAATAGTTACAATCCATTCAATGAAAGGGGGAATACCCCGCATTTATCCGATAAGCCAAAAAAGTACTAGAATAACTGAAAAGCGTGAATTCTACTAAAATATACCAAATAATTTTTACATACTAAATTCTGTTGCCAGTACCTCAAAATCTACCAAAAAAGTAGAAATCTACTAAATCTGGTCACGCTGTAGGCTAGCTCACTAGCTGTGTCCTGTGTCATTCTGTGTAACTGACAGTGACACAGAATGACACAGCCACAGCACCAGTCCAGTCACCAGACCGGGGCTGGATTTAGGTGCGGTAAAAAAGATAGTAAAAAATATTTAAAAGGATAGTATTTGACAAAAAATTACACTATTATTTTCATAAATTATGGAAAAAAATTATTTTACTCAAAAACTCGCAGAAAATTGTTATCACTTTGCATAAGAATAGGAGGGCCGTACCATAAAAATAATAAATTAATCGTACTATATAGACAATCTTCCAATCGTCCAATCTTTAAAAGGTTGTCAACGCATCTGTAACCCTCGGGTGTAGCAGATGTCCATGGCCGGCGGTATTCACTTAACATCAGGTGAACCGCCTGCTCGCTTGGAAACTTTTCACATAAAAAAACAGCAATTACGAACTTTATTAATTACTTTATTGAGTGCGATGTTCAGTGACTGTTTGAGAAAGCGGAGTATCGAAAAAAAGTACCATTCAGACATTGGTAAGTCCCACGGTAGTTGGTCATCGTTGAAAACTATTTACAATCTATAGTATTATTATAGATTATAAATAGTTTAATTTTTAGAGACAAAGTCCAGTGTTATCTAGGGATGGGTTATACTTGCTAAATCACGTAGCAGGTCTTAAAAGTACGTCCACCTTCTCATACCAGAGACAGCAACCAGGTATCAAAATACTTTCAAAGTATTTTCTGTCCAACTCAACGAGTCGAATACTTGTTTCCTTGCAAGTTTAAGCGTTGTTGTTATACAGATAAGATTCAAAATATTCCAATCAAGACGTAAAATACTTTGAAAGTATTTTATTTCATGCATAAGCACAATCTGAACCTTATGAGTAAGTTATAAAATAAGTTATCTAATCAAGTGAGACAGACACACCGGGCCAGACCGATATACATTGCTTCGCCATCGCACGGCGCCCGCGTCGATCCCAGCCGAATAGCACCGAACGACGAGGGAGACGAATTCCGAGAAAAATACATTCGATCAGGAATGCCAACTTAGGAATTTTCTTCTTAGAGAACAATGCCCACTTCCCATACATTTAAAAACCTGATAATGAAAGTGTATGTATAGTTACAAGGTATAGCAGAAAGACTACCTTTAAGTTAGTAAATTAATATCATATAGTAATTTTTACAATTGCTGGTCTACGAAGTCCAAAAATTATAAAAAAATGTTACTTTTTAGGTTAGGATTTGCAGTTACCTAATATAACAAAATAAATGAGCTAGAACTAACTATTTACGCTCAAGTTTATCCTAAAATAATAATATTAGCCTATCTAAGGTCTAAAACTTCTTTTGTACTTGTGAATTCTTCTTCTTTTCTTTTTGGGCGGTTTTCAATGAATACGCCAATGAACACTTCTGGTTGTTTATTTTTGCCTAACTTTTATAATGAAATGATGAAGAGAATGATTTTATGAATGTTAAATATGTATATTTTTATATATAGAATATCTAAACAAATTTACATAATTATAGCAATTACCTAGAACAAAAAATAAGATTGTAATTATTATACTTGTGAATTCCTAGAAACCGACTGCCCTTACGTCACTGCTCAGACTCGATTATTGTCACTATAAATTGAGTGAAGAGCATTATCTGCTGTTTCAACAGCTCACATAAGTACTTACTAAAAAAACGTAAGTTAAAAGTGATCATTTATCTGCCCTACACATTTCATTGGCCTGCACTACAATACATAATAATCGATAATTATAATACCTGATGAATAAAACGGGGGAAAAAATAAAACACTATGTTACAGTGGAATGCTTTATTAATTATCATCATCTTCACTTAAATGTGTTATAACTATGTTATCCAGAAATTCTGCTATAACAGAGATATTTTCTTGATAGTTCATCCGAAGTACCACACTAGCCATAACATGAGTGCAGCATCCTATGGTTCGCCAACCAACTAAACAATTACAACAGTATTCGACTATACTAGCTCTGCCAGACACATTATTTTCTATTAAAATGTAGATATTATATTGTTTTTCTTTAAATGTGCCAGGACTTAATTTTTCCTCTTATTAGTGTTATGTCACCACTTCCTCTCAGATTATTCCTAGAAAACTTCTGTGTCCCTACATATTTCTATTCTATATGATCCATGAAAGCGAATATGTTCGCCATAATAGGATTTGGCTTGCCTTATTTGGTACTTAATGCAAATAGTATAAGTTCACTAATAACTTAATCTCAGAAACATAAAAAATAAATTATCTTCAGTAGTAGAAACACCACAAACTTCAGCAACATGCCTAATATGTGTGGCAGCACTCTTACAACTCATCCAGCATGAATGGCATATTCTATCAGATGATGATATCTACAAAAGACAACTATCTACAAAAGTAATAAAGCAATAATTATTATTCATCTTAAAAAAATATTAAAAAAAAAACAATTATATATTTATTTGTGGTTAAAATTATTACAGCACCAGTCAATTAATAACAGATATAATAATTTACATCTAAAATACAAAAGAGAAATAATCTAGAGTAATAGTATCAAGTTTTATACTGGCAAATGATTAACAATGTGGAAACATGAATATGTGATGTTGTGAACTTGTTTGTATAATAGCATTTATGTCTTTGCTTTTCTGAAGGATTATCAAAAACTCTGTTCTTCGACTTGGTTGAGATAATCCTGGAGCTTGAGCAAGATCACAGCTTGTTAATTCCTGGTTTACTCTTCTCATAAAGAGTTCATTACAAGATTTACAAATGTAATCTTCCTCAGTAATCTGAAATAAAAAAACGTATATTGAGTTTATAATACATATTTTGGATATATAGATCTTTTGAACAGTTGTTTGTATTATGTCACAGGTATAATTTATAGGAGCTTTGTTAGTTTGATTAGGACATGATTGACATTTTTAGATTAAAAATAATAAACATAAATACTCACGATTACTGGCGAATACCGATGAGTATGAGTCACTCGCAGAACTGTCAAATGTCAAAAAAAATCCATTTACGTCAGCCGTGCGAACTTTATTACATGCTGCATTAATAATTTACTATTTTATTTTTAATAAATCTGTACTACTAATAAGATTGATCTTAATTTTTATACAAATACTGTTAATTACGTGCTTACTCACTTCTCTAAAACGTAAAATCACGTACAAAACTCAGAAAAAGTTGAATACAGTCAAGTAGATAGTGTGAAAAATGGAACGTCATAGGCAAAGAATTGCTAGGGTGCGTTCAAAACATGGTAATATGTTTACCCTTGAAGTAAAATAAGCGTAAAGAAATATCAAAAAATATTTTTTCCCGACCTTTTAACATTGTGATTAGTGTAATTACTATAAAATGAAATTAGCTAAATTTTAATATTTATTTCACTTCTATACATAATCAGGTCAAAAATGGGCATTGTTCTTTAGGAATAAAAAATGTGGAATGGAAGTTTTTTTGGGGGGGAATATTTTTTTAATTAATAAAATTTTATTCACATTTTCGAAAAAACACTACACAAAACTACTTATTTAAAAAAATAAAAGAAAATGTTACAGTGCTGTGCTGCTTTGGACGACGTCAGGCCAAGGGCTATGTGTCTGGTATGAATATTTTATGTATTCTAATAATTATTTTGATTTTATTCTTAACATATTGATTTCAAATGATTTACATTATATTTGATGTTCTTGACCATTTTGAATGAAATAGTTTATTTCATTAGATAATTATTTTGCCATTACGTTGTTGTTTGAGTTTAGTAAATTTTAGTGCGTTTTCGAATTGCTTTAGGAGTTTTATTTTTGAACAGTGGTAACAGTGCATTCGATTCGTTCGACGTACGAGTTCGATCGACGTAGTAATACTTACTTTGAAGAGCTAGTACACCTTAATGGAAAAGTCAATGCTAAGTCTTGCAAGTATATCGGGTCGGTACCTGGTTGCTATACTTGCAAGGAAATACCTTGAATCAATACCGGGTAACTTAATTATGCACTAACTCGTTTTCTATTGTTCGAATCGCACAGTACGATAGAATTACAACTTGATTACAACCCAAAGAACTTCTTTTAATGTTGGATTGGCTGTGAATGGTATAATATTGGTCATTTAGGTAAAGTAATGAAATTATAGTACGTTTTTGTACTATCCATGCATGAAATTATAATACAAAATCCTACCCTGCACAGCACAAACATCTAATATGACATACACCAAACATTTTAACTTCTTCGTCTATTGTCAATTTGTCAACGATGACGACCAATAGTTCTCTGTGTTATGACTAATTAGCAATAGGCAAACTTATCAGACAGTTTTTTTATTACAGCGTAACATTTTGGCGTATTACATTATAAGTGACGTTCTTTTCGGCGAAACAGCTGCGAAGCAGGAATAAATCAGTTCTTAAAAGAATTATTTTAAGTTATCAGTGTAGCTCTGATAAGGTCTCTAAGAAACAAGGTAGCAGTAACCTATGAGAAGAGCAGTTTAATAATGGACGACGTGAATCTTCTATATTCATTAATCTTCAATTTCGCTTCATTCTTCATCAAATACACCAAGCCACAAACAAGGAATTCAACGCTGAACACCGGAACTGCAAGTATCTTCACCCGAGGGCCACCATAAAAAAGAATTGACTTTGCCTGTGATTGATTTCAAGTTAAAGACCAGACGCTTTGTGATCCTTGGGAGATATCCCCTTGCTCGGGGACTAACTTAGCTCACAGGACCTACTTAGAAGCGCAGTCCCCCTCTATCGCCTCTGGCGGAGTGATTTATGCGGGGTACGCGGTGACTCTCGCGCGGGCTAAACAAGCGCTCTGATTGGTCGTGTAACGTGGAAAATTTTCAAATAAATCATCATACTGCGCATAGCTGCCGAGTCGAACACACGCCTACGTAGGCACATATCCGCTCCAATCTGCTACATCCTTCATTGCCGTCTCAGATCGGTAAACTCAAAGAAGCCCCTCGCGACCATTCGCTCGCCGCAGCCGGTCAGTCATCGCATACCGAGTGCCGCGTTCTCTCGTGACTTTCGAAACGACGTGTTCCCCCACCGTTTGCTAGTTGTAAAGTACTGTTTTAACTACGTCGAACAACGCGCTTAGGCAGCGGTCTGTTTCGTCATTATCAACAGAACGTTAATTGATGACTCACTGACAATGCGCTAGCCAAGTTTAGTACCGATTGTCTGCTGTGGGGACAGGTCGAGGGTGGTAGAGGAGGAGCCATTCTCCCAGTTTTCTGCTGCCGAGGAGGAGTCGCGGATATAGAGGAGTGTCGGTATTGCGTTTGGCCGCTCTCCCTATCCTCCGCGACTCAGCGGGGCTGCACCGCTGATACAGTAGATGTGAGTCCGCGGTTATTCCGATACGCCGTTCTCCCTACCCTCCGTGGCCGAAATGTGGTGAGCGACGAAGCCACAGACCACGTCCGTCACTGGGGGCAGGGAATCTTGCTGCTTATTAACACTGGCGTTCATGGCCCGGTCAGCGAACTCGGGGGAGTTCGTTGGCCGTGAAAAGGGACCGAATAGCAAGGCGCGCTGAATATTCTAGCGTGCCTTACATACTCCATACGTTTCGCTCTGTCGTCTAGTGAAGTGCGGCGCTTATGAGGATTTCAACGTTTTCAGAAATTTGATCCGCCCACCTTTAGGATTACGGTCTTTAGGTAAAAGACCCTCTATTATCCTCATTTGACATAGGCAAACTTAAAAGAGCTTTTCAAAGTTTGAAATATTTAAAAAGTAAAATAAAAATTTTGTTTTTACTTGAAAATCTCTTTTAAAATAATATCTACTTTACTACAATTTCAAGCTTTGCAAAATGCAACATCAGGATCCTTCTTAGCTCTGGAAATCCAGGAAGGAAGCAAAAGATCTTGTTCACACTCAGGTCAATATACGGAAGATACAATAATTTGCTACCAAATATTAATAAAAGTAAATAATACGACACAGAATATTATAAGCATTCTAAATATTAATATTAATTTATATGTACAAATGTATTTCAAAAATAATAAAGATTTCCTTGAAATCTGCCAAAATCTTCTTTGAATCGTCAGCCTAATCTGCCACATCTAAAATTTAAGGTGCGAAATCTGCCCAAATAGCAGAAATCTGACACAAATGGTCACACTGTAGTTCAGACAACGGAATCAGGGATGCCAACTTAGGAATTTTATTCCTAAATTTTGGAAGAATTAATGTCTGTTGGAAGTTTTTTAGGAGGTAATAATAATAACTATTATACATAATAAAACAACTATATATATGTATATTAAATACTATTAATATTGAATATACCTTGATTATATAAAAATCGTGATTTTAAATTTAGGAAGTTTCTGTTTCAATTTATTCAAGTTTAGTTGGTTTCCAAATTAATTTAGGAGTATTATTTTTGAACAGTTGGTAACACAGAACGGAATACAAATATTTCATATTTCCTAAGTTCATATTCATACATTTTGTCTGTCAAATAAGATTCGATTGAGTTTATATGGAAAATTGTGATTTAAAAACTGGATAGAAAAAAGATACAGTGAAAAATTTATAACCAACGAAAGTCGAAAAAATAATAATAATTTAAATAATAAAAATACAAATAAACTTCTATAAGTGGTGCATTTATTGACATTATTTACAAATGAAAAGCAATATTACTAATTTTCTTTTTATATTCATATTTTATGTATATATTTCGTGAAATAATGATCCTTTACAACCCATGACGTTTTGATATTTGCTTTCCCGCTATACAACAACAATACTTATTTTAAATGTTAACTTTATGTCACAACTTTTTTCAAGTTTCTCCTAATTCCAAAAACAGTAAAGATGTGGTTCAACATTATAGTAAAAAGAAATTTATTTTTGGTGTTTTTATATTGTTCCTCGTAGCTGTTTTATGGGTAGTTTCATCAGAATTGACAAAGGTAAACAAACTAACATTAAAATATTTACATGTTTTCCACAATCCACATTTTTTTTAATTTTTATCTTATTGTTGCAGTATTTATATAATGAAAAGAAAATAGAAAGACCTTTTCTTATTACCTATGTGCGCAGTTCACTGTTATTTGTTTATTTGATAGTGCTATGCTTTTCACCTCCGACAAGAGATCCATGTCGACCTGCTGATTATACGGTAAAAATTTATTTGAAACGTTCATTCAATCCATTATATATCAAATTGTAATAATATGAATGATGCATTTATTTCAGCAATTATTAGAGCCGACTCCTGAGACCGATGATGAAACATACTACAATGAGGCAACCAGCAGCTTGGTATGCTATTAACATACAAAATTATCCTACACGTAAAAATATTTAATACAACGTAAGAAAAAAACAGTTAAAAATTGAGAACTTATGGGTACTTTGAAGCTTAATTCCCAAACCACTACATAAATATGTAAAAGAAATTTAATTATTTAAAAAGTAGCAAATTGAAGTGGCCTTATGAAGATTAACCCACTTGTGACATGAATGATTATATAGTTCAACCTTTGACTGAGTTTTTGTATCATAAACCAATTATATTATATACACAGATATGACACTAGTGCACCGTAATTCTGGCACATTCTGTCTGTCACATTCACTCATATATTTGAATTTATTAATGTAAAACAGAACAATTTTTAAATGCAGTGCAGTATGGATATGCATTGTCTTTATTATTAAACACCATTTTCATAAACAACATACCTTTACTTAAATATACTCCACATTGCATATAATTAGAAATAAAGAAAAAATAATAATAATATGACCAGGTGACTACAGGCAATCCCAAGTTACAACCATTTTACTATTATAAAGATAATTAACAATATCTTCTAATATTTTAATTAATAATGTCTTGATAATTATATAAATTTTGAAGCTTCATTCTTCATATATTATTACTTTACCCTGCCACATGTAGGTCTAATATGTTTCATGTGACAACACTTGTAGGTGTACAATATTTTTATTTGTATTTTCCATGGTGAGATATAAAGATTGTCTGCTTTGAAAACCATAGAACTTGCAACACATAGAACTTCTCCACATCATTTTAAAGATTTACAATTTAGTTGGGAAATCTAATTTGTTAAATTGAAAGGGCATATAATTTGGGACCATAAGAGTTCAAGGAATGAAAAAATCTTCTCATTTGAATGGTCCTGTCAAGATTGTTACTTCTATAAATTGCTCATTATTTTCTTCTTTCTGCAAACCAAAAGCCATAGCAATGCCTTAGCCAATTGATATTTTGCAACATAATTATTGGCATGCCATCACCAGCAGATCAACCGAATTTAAAAGTTGGGTAATGAACATCATTCACTGCTTCCATAAGAGTATCCACTGACTTATACATAATAGCCTCACTTTAAATGTTAGACTGAATTGTGGTGGAAGCAAAAATAAAAGCCCATTCTCTCTGCCAGTTTTTTTGATGCTGCTCTCCTTAAATTCAATATACTCCAGCAACCTGAGTTCGATCCCCGGCGCCGGCACCAATGAAATTGCAGAAAATGCCGAATTGTCACGTGTTCAGCGGTGAAGGAAAACATTGTGAGGAAACCTGCATATTTTCGAAATAATACAAAAGAATAAAACAAAAAAAAAATATTTCGAAGATATGTGAAGTCCGCTAATCCGCAGTGGTAACACATGGTGGACTATGCCCTAACATCCTCTGTACAGAGGAGGCCTTTGCCCAGCAGTGAGACATGCATAGGCTGATACTTTACTTACTAAAATAATGCAATGTAATGCATAATAATAAATGATAGCAACATTCATTAAACTGAATTCCAATACAGTGTAACACAAAATTAAATACAAATAGATTACAATTTATTTAAATGATTATAAATAAATACACAATTATTAAGTTTTTTATTTATTGGTAAGGAACTAGTACATTTGCTATTTTGAACAAACAAACATTATATTTTTATGTATACAGCGTGTCGTTACAATCGTGACATTAAATAAATACACATATAAAGGATAACTTTTTAAAATTGTATTAAACATTTACATTATTTAAACATCAATATTTACCGAGTTATTAAATTTTCCAAAACAATTTTAGAACATCCTTACATATAGAACTGTAACATAGTTTATTTGTAAAGGTCACAAAAAATATAAATGGGTTGAATGAATTTGAAAGAGATAAAACATATTGTTAGAAGGAGAGACTTGTAATGCGCAATGCAACAAATGAGAAAGTCTGAATGTATGAAATGGTCATTTGTAGTTGTATAGGATGTTACAAATTTAGTTTCTTTTTTATTTATTAACTTTGTTTGAAAAATATTTTTTTTAGTATGGATTTTTTTAACCTTTATATTTTTTTATGATTATTGGCAAGTAGCGTTAGACCTGTGATTATTTATTGTCGCGGTTGTAACGACGCGATGTATCACAATATAATTAAATTGAATATCTGTTTGTTAAACTGAATTTTGACTGTGAGCAGCAGTCGATATAAAACCTTATGCAATCCAATATTGTAAATCTTTAATCTATTATAATATATTACTTAATTAATATATTGAAATGAATATATATAATAAAATATCTAAAGTAACTAACAACTTAAAGTATTAAAAATACTTTATATTTTAGGGAGACTCAACCTTTGTTCCTGTGCGAACTGGTGAAACTACTGACAGTGATGATGCTGCTCCCAGAGCTGTGCGGTTCAATAAAGTGGCTGAGGTGACATAGTGTTATTATAAATAAATCCATAAAAGTCCTGAATATTCCCAAAAAACATCTACCGTTTTGACAGGAATGAAAATTTTAATATTTCCAATATTTCGCGATTCTTTTCTTGTTTCCAAGTGACAAATAAGCCTGAGAGCTGAGAGTAAACTGTGGTTGATTAATGTTGGGGTGCCCACCTTTAAATTCATTATAAAATAAACAATGGTGATAGTTTGCTATCCACTCTTTACTATTGTGTATTTACCACATAGATAGGTACTAATGAAAATATATACATGGATAAATCTCGCTGTGTGTTACTGTGGTAGGACCACACAATAGGCTTCACTGTTGTGTCCGGGTAAGTACCATGACTCTTAAGTGAGTGGATTGTATCAAAATAGGCTGCTAGTTAGATAATGTTGTAGTTATAACATTGTGTCATCTTGTTTACATAATGTTGGATCATATCATTTTTACCATTTTAAATCGGGGCAATAATAAGTCTACTTGGGGATAAGTAAACAGCTTATACTGTTTAATTGCACCAACAGTTCGCCTGATATTGACAATCTGAATGTTTTCACACAAAATATTATAATGAACAAAGTAAATGTAAATGACTAAGCTTGCGTGATGCCTAGCAGCAGGTTCAGGTTTGCACCTCAAGATTAAACCGACTTCATTCACGAGTAGAGATGCGCAAAACAGTGCTTCAAAAAGTAATGTGATGTTTATCACATCACTCATGGAAGTAATATCACTCAAAAACATTACGCATTACTTATTACGCAGTAGGCCTATCTAGGTCTATACTGTGATGATGATGTTGCGATGTCATTACAGTAACATACTGGACTAAAGCATATTGTTATTTTAATTTCATTACCATTACGTACTTAGGATTAACGCGTATTGTGATTTTATTTAAGTGTAATAAGTATATGATATTCTAAATGTAAATATTCAAAATAGAGGTAATTTCGCAACTTTTTATTTAATTTATAGTTATTCCGTGTTTAATAATTAAACGTTATATTCAAAATAGCCCAGTTAAAAATACAGAAGGACAAAGGCGAAGGCAAAAGCTAATATCAATAAAAATCTATTCGTCAATGATTGTCAGTTACTAAAGAAATTAACCTTGAGTTATGAGAAAGCAAATTTGAAAATATCGTCAAAAATTAATTTCAACCTTAATAGCATGTGATATTAGCTTGTTTTTGTATTACAGCATGACATTCGTATTTGCGCGGGGAATGCACACATTTTATACGTAACGTCGTAAAAAAATCTTATTTATATAGCATTACGGTTGCGATTTTATTGAAAGTAATGTAAAATATCATCCGCCTAGAAGCGCGCGATCATCTCGGTCGCACGACATACTTTTAGTATACGGCGATCGCGGAACGCGAAGTAATGCATCACAAGCGTAATGGGTAATGCAGTATGACATTGCTGAGTAATATTACTCGAGTGATATCATCGGCATTACTTACAATTCGCAATTGACCAGTGATCTAACACAGTATTCAGGTGCGCGTGATACGGAGCAAATCACGGTGGTAGGGCCACGCAGCAGCCTCGGCTGTTGCACGAATGAGCAGACCCGTCCGGGTAAGTACCACGACCTCACAGAAGACCAGCGTAAAATGGAAGTATTATGACAAATACTTTCGCGTTTCGTCTGGTGAGTGAGGTAGCCGGAGCCCAATTTTCAAAAGGTTGTAACGCATCTGTAACCCTCGGGTGTAGCAGATGTCCATGGGCGGCGGTATTCACTTACCATCAGGTGAACCGTCTGCTCGCTTGGCAACTTTTCACATAAAAAAAAAAATGACCGCTGGTCTAACGCCGTGTTCAGGTGCGCGTGATGTCAGCGGCAATGGCGGGCGAGGCGCTGTTGGCTCGCCTCTCGTGGGCAGCGTCCGTCCGGGCCACAGAGCACGCGCAGCGGCGCGCCGCCGCCGCCGCGACGAAGCGCCATCTGCGGCTGGCGCTACTCTTCGCCGTGCCGGTGAGTACAGTCCGCCGACACCGTGCCAAGTGAACTTCAATGAAATCTTTTCTAACAAGTCATAAGTACGTCTGAATCGCCTATAAACAGTCATTTAAGTGATAAGCAAGAACCCTCATGGCAGGGCCACGCAACCTCGGCTGTTGCAAGAATGACTCGTTCGGGGTAGTGCCAAAACCTTTTACCAACGGGATATCAGGTTTTGGGTCGAAAACCTATATAGTAGTTCCCATGGAAGCAAGGTCTTGCAGCGTAAAAGAAAAATGACGCCGCAAAAGTTCTCTGAGTTGTATGGGCGCTCATACAAATACAATTACAAACTAGATAATAGTGCTGTGAACCCTTCGTGCGTGAGACTCGCACTTGGTCGGTTTTTTTCAACCGACTTCTAAAAAGAAGGTTTTCCAATTCGACCGTACATATTTATATTTTTTTATGTGTTCGCGGATAACTTCGTCGTTTTTGAACCGATTTTGATGATTCTTTTTTTTTTGTTGGAAAGGAGATATCCCAAGGATGGTACCATGATAAGGAAACCCAGATCTGATCCAAAATCCAACCCACATCGAGGGCAATCCTCAAAAGTCGGTTTTTTTTTGTTAAAAATTATAATGTTGACAACGTTTCTGCTAGATGGTGTAAAAGTATATAGCGTCGCCATTGGGCTTCCCCAAACGAGCCTCCCTATTCGAGGGACTCAGAATGTTCCCCCCCAGTAAAGAATAACGCTCTTCTATATTTTGCGGTACTATCTTACAACCGCCTCTCGCCGCCAAGCCGACGAATTGACCCGCTTGCATGTTAATCGCTGCAGTGGTTCCTGTCGAACTACCTGTACCGTCTGAGCCTGCTGCACACGTCGTCAAGCTCGGCGCTAGTGTACACCTCGACGGCGGGCGCGTTCGCGCTGTCTCTGGGCGCGATATTCGCCCAAGCGCCCACCGACCGCTTCACTGTGCCGAAGTGCGTCGCAGTTCTGCTCACCGCGGCGGGTCTCGTGAGTAATTACTAGTTTATTTCGATAGATGGCGTTGTAACCGATCCTTCGATCCGTTACATTGAAGCATAGCTCCAACGCCGCCTCTTTGTGTCCGTCTGATCTGAATTAACTCAAATCGTACAGAACGGATCCCAATGCAGCCAATCTTTCGCAATTGATGGAGTGATTCAATGTTTAAGTCAACTTATAATTCATAGTTTTCGCCCACCGACGGCTTGACGTCGTCGAAGTGCGTCGCAGTGCTGCTCAGTGCTCACCGCAGCTAGACTCGTTCCCACAAACCACAAAACACACAAATTACCCGTCTGTTTCGATAGATGGCACTGTATACGGGATCGGTATACAGTGCCATCTATCGATTCAATATATTTAATGAAATAAAGTTCCCCCGCCGCCTTTGTCTGTCTGTCTAAACTGAATTAAATCAAAAAGTACTGAAGGAATTCCCATGTGGCTTCCACAATTAGACTGAGTAATTCATAAGGAAAGTTTAGGTGTATAATTCATAGTTTTGCGGCCGCAGACCGCTTCACAATGCCGAAGTGCGCCACAGTACTGCTCACTGCGGTCGGACTCGTGAGTTACGATATACAGTGTCACCTATCGAAATTATTTCTTTCGATAGATGACACTGTATAATATCGATTTCTTCTTAAACAAATCCCCACCACCGCTTCTGTTTGTCCGTCTGTGCGGAATTAACTCAAGAACTACTGAATGGATTTTCATGCGGTGAATCTAATAGACGGATTGATTCATGAGAAAGTTTTAGATTATTTTTATATACCTAATATGTAATCTCTATCACTACTGAGAAATGTATATGTTTCGTACCTGCGATACAGCCACATTATTTTTTTATTATTTCGAAAATTTGCTGATTCCTAGTGATGTTGATAGATCACCACTTAAAATCGCAAGTAACCACTGGACGCCGCCACCACGATTTGAATTCGAGTTACTAGAGTATACTAAATTACAATGAGCAATTACCTAATAACATCGAACAAATTCTTTTTTAAATCCATTTTTTATAATAAAAAAATTGTTAGAATATTTTTTATATTCACGACTATGACCATCTATTCAATTTATAAATTTCAGGTGATGCTGGGCCTATCGGAAAGCCATCAAACTAATTGGACGGCGGTGCTATCGGCTGTGGGGTCGGCCCTTTGCTACGCAATGCACCTGTTGATGTTCAGACAGGAGTTGAGGAAGGGCGATGGCATCAACTCAGTCCTACTCTGCGGTAAGTCTACATGTTTTCGAGCTAAGCTTGTTTGTGTAATAATATGGCAAAGTTCCTGTAACTGTTGATCTGTCCTGTGGCCATGTACGCAGTTGTTCGATATTTTGGAAATAAAAATTAAACAATTTCTGTGATACCTATATTTATTTCTGTCTATCCATAATATTTATATGTACCTATTTAATACCAATAATGAACAAGTTAATTATAATTTAAAAAACTAAAAAAAAAACCGACTATTTTTCTGTGTAAGTTTTTATTTTGATTTTCCCAGTGTCACTCGCACAGTAAATACGAATCTAATGACACCTCTCAAGCTAAAATCCATCAAGCCGATCAGGCTGCAGAGCGTGCCAAACAATTATACATACATACTATCGAAAAACACAACCCTCCTTCTGGCGCAGTCGGGTAAAACAAAAGGCCTCTCTGTGCTTTGGAAATAAATGCCAACATTATCTCAAATAGGCTCCAAAACAACTCGATGGATTTCAATAGAAATTGTAGTGTTCAAAACAATAATTTTGTGCATTATGTATATTACATATTTATATCTTACTTGTGGAGAGAGTTATAATGAATATATGATTATGTTACTGCCATTTTGTAATTGAGAATATAACTGCCAATATACACATAATTGTCATTTTCTTTTTATTTAATTTGGTATTTAAATGAAAATTACTCCACATTATTAACATCATACATTGGTTAAACACGATCCAGATGCGGAACAATTATTTGTAGGTCTTTTGTAATTCTTGTATCGTTTTGGAATCGAACCCACGACGGGTTACAAGCTACAAGCCTGAACTAAAATAATTACATACATAGTTTTTTTATTGAACTATTGGAACACACATAATATGCTTGGACATTAGCTTATGTAACTTTCATAACTTTATTCTCAAGAAGCATAATTGTAATTTCCTTCATAAATGTACTAGATTTTTTTTTAATGTGTATTAAGGTGTCGTCGGATGCGCTTGCGGTTGCATGGCGTGGCTGATGGGCGGCGTGCTGGCAGCCACTGGGCTTGAGAAGGCGGAACTTCCTCCACCCAAATTGTGGAGCTGGCTGCTGATAGATGCTGTGCTAGGGCCGCTACTTCTCGACTCGCTGTGGATTTGGTAAAACTATTCCCTTTTTTAATGAATGGACGTCATATGACTGGCACCAAAGGAATAATTTTATCCAAATCGTTGGACATTTAAAGCGTAATTAAGTACTTGTCTGCGGTAAGTTTAAACTCAATAAGTTGTGATCAAATCATATACAAAATAAAATTTAATTAAAGAATCCGAACGAGGCCCCCGAAAGAATACCGTTAGCAATAACTTTTAAATTCCGAGACAATGTTTAATTATAATTTTGTCTATAATATTTATATTGGATAACTGCCAAAAATAATCAGCTAACTGCTCATCATCAGCTCGTTTGCGAACTGACAGGGGCAAGTCGCTGACGTCCCCGAAGACGGCCACCGGCATGCTGGCGCTGAGCGTGCCGCTCGGCGCGTGCGCGGAGCTGTGGCGGGGCGCACAGGGCGCGGGCGCGTGGCGCCTGTTGGCCGCCCTGCTGTGCGCCGCCGGCTGGGCGAGCGCCGCCCTCGAGCTGCGTGTGCCCGCGCCCTTGGACTGGCTCGCGGCCCGCATGCGCGCCGCCGAGGGCTTCTCGTGAGTTGTGTCAACTACGCAGTGTAGGGATCGTCATCATCATCCTCTTCCTCCTGCCCTGATCCCACTTAGGTGGGGTGTCCACAACGTGTGACTCGTGTTGTTAGCGGTTTCCGCTATACTTTTTACTATCTGCCGCCTAACCTATCGGCCTAAGTCAATCCTCCTTGGGAAATTATGCAGTGTAGGGATAGTGAGGAAAATCTAATATTTTTTTTAATGCGAGAAGGTGGCAAGCGAGTGGGTCGCCTAATATTAAGCGGTAACCGCTGGACATTTGCAACAACCGTAGGTTTGCAAACGTAGCTGCCACCATTTAATAAAATGGGCTCCGGTTACCTCACACACCAGACGAAACCCAGAAGTATATTACTTCCTCTTTACGCCCGTCTTCTATGAGGTCCTGATACTTCTCCGGACGGAGGTGCCCATTAGTCAAAAAGGGGAACTGTTGCATACCACAGTTACCACAGAAGCCCACAATTGTATGGGAAAAAATTGAAGCATCTAGTGGTAAGTAATGTCCTCCATGTATTCAACTAGCCAAAATGAATCTGCAAGGCAAAGTAAAGGATGGTTTACACACTGTTGATTTAAAAAACGTACTTTGCGCAAGTGTTTTTATGTTGTCATGAAATCCTCCATAATGCAAGAAACAACACTTATCTTTTGCAAGAATTGAACCTACTAACTGCGGTCCCAAGACCTCTCGGCTTGTAACGCTAACTCTTGTCATTAATTTTTCATTTTGTATAAAGAAACATAATATGTTGAATGCCCTTTGTTCATCAGTTTTGAGTTTATTCGTAATTTCTTTCCATTTCAAGGACTATACGGAATATAGCAGAATTGGACGAACAATCAGAAGCACTCATGTCGTCAGATGAGCCCACGTAGCAGTTTCTATTGGAGTGATTTTGATGCAGTAGAAATTGCTTCTAACTTTGGGCACATCGGGTTTGTTGTATGGACACACTTCGCTATTCCTAGGTTATTGCGTACAGCATTTACGAAAAAATAGAAACTAAGAAAAAGTGAAGTCTATTGGGTAGTGTTTTACAAATGCAACATTATTCTTTTGTCAGCCAGATTATATTTTATAAGCACAATATATTTGTAAATGAATGTTTATATCCAGATGGGATTGTTGAATGCTTACCTTTATGTTGTACTAATCATTCCATTAACATTTACTTCTAAAATATCCTATTAGAATTGTAACACTGATATGTCTTTATGCTTATGTCAAAACACATTTCTAATAATACATTTGTTGTTAGACATTGTTTTTGTATGACTTACTATAAATAGTAATCCTTGTATAATAGCTCTGTGCCTTTTCATCTGTAATCCCCTTAGAGATTAAACTAGCTGGTATAAACAATTTTACAAATAACATCAATGAGAAATATATTAATGTTGTAACTCATTCTATTAACTATGAGACCTAGGGAATATTATGTTACATAACCATTGCCAGAAAAGAACAAATTGTTATATTTACTGTTACTTTTTACATGTAACCAAAGGTAATCTGTAAGAAACTGGCTACATAGAAATTTATATTATCTAATTATTTAAAAGTACTTTTAATACTCATTTTCAGGCTTTTTTATGTACTACTACTATAGCAAATCTAATGCTTTAAATTTTTCTTTCTTTGAATCCTTTATACACCAACAGATGTATGGAAAATGGAGGGATGCATTTAAAAATGGGCATTTTTTTTATTTTTGCGGTTTGAATAAGATTCAAATCTTAAGAAAATAATATTATAGTAGCTACAAAAAGGTGGATGCCGTCAATATGAAAAATAACACGTAGTAAAGGAATACTAACTTATTTTCTTACAGATTTCAGACTCTCTCACACCGATATTTACTTATAAGCCTCTATGATTATCCTATCCTTTTTTATTCTGAAAACTTACAATAAAAAGACTCACAAATGATTGATCTATTTAAATATAAATGTATCCATTATATATTAAAGACATGAGTTGAGTCACATTGAGATCGTAAGTTATTCTTATTTATTACTTAAAAACTTAAGTAACACGAAAATTATTTATTTTTCTATAAATTTTAATAACGCATTGGGATTTGTTAAATATTCTTTAACGTAATGAATTTAACAGAACCAAAAAGGAAAATTCGAGTAGTAACAAAAAGTAAAAACTAAATGACGATGGACCTTTTTTTTATTGCACGTAATTACGAAAAAAGTGGCCAGTGAAAACTGAACTGGCCTAAAAACAATGAAACTCTTTTGCATTCCTCTTCAATAGTCGAAAGTGTAGTTGAGCTACAAAATTATATTGTCAATTGCAGTATTATAAGGGGATCTTTTATGTGATTGATTATTGTAGACGCATTCGTAATAGATTTTATATTAATGACTTCATTTTATTTTTAAAAGTATTTTTGAAATATTAAAGAAGCAATAACTGAAGTGTGTTTTATGATTTACAAAAAATACCACATAAATTGTTTATTTTCTATTTTTTTTTTAAGTATATAAGCTTGTTTTTGTATTTTTTTAATTACCTACCGAATATCGGATTTGGAAAATAGGTAATCCTGAATCCTCATCAGAATAATGGTCCTGATCAGAATAATGGGAAAAACTATTTAAATTATTCCATTCTCCTGGGTTTTGACGATTATGCAAAGTTAAATTCAAATCTGAATTCTGATCGTTCAAAGTCGGGCGAAATCATGTTTAAAGATCCCGTTACATTAATACATGTAAAACTAATAATAATATAAGTGTGTTAAAAGGGGCATAGGAAATGTTGGATCGAAGAATTGGCCAAAGAAATTCCTAACATGAACATTTTGGCCGTACCGGTACGCTTTCACATGCAAAGAAATAATTAATACTAGGGTTTTTGCAGATTAAATAATTAAAACAAATCATTGTTAATTCCCTTCGCCCGCGTGGGCAAAAGGAATTAACAATGATTTGTTTATCATACATGACACATTCCTGGTGCTAGGAGAAATAAGTAACAGTCTAACTCGAAGTGTGTCAATTCTAACGTGGAGAAAACATATAAGTGTGGTATGTTTTCCACATAAGTGTGATTTTTTAAAGTTATACTCCTTTTGGCACGTTTAGAAAAAAATTTGAGAGCACAATTTTTACGCACACACCGACACTCAAAAATCGACATGATGAAGTTTGTTGCAAAGCGACCAACGACACGGTCTTTCTATGGGCACAATAACACCTTTTTGACATTTACCTAAAACAGAGAAACATAGAAGATGACGTGGCTGCCTGCGCGGTCAACATTCAAGTTCAAACTTTTAAGGGGTTCCATCCTCAAATCCCTTGCAATAACGTCATGATGAGTAGGTCCAACACGCACTGGAGGAGTGCCCAGCCTGGCGGGAGCAGCGCCGAGAGCTGATGGCTATCGTGGGGCACGATCTCTCGCTACCTGCCGTTGTTCGCGCTATGGTGGACAGCGAGAGGTCATGGGGTGCTGTCCTTGCTTTTTGTGAGGTCATAATCACCCGGAAGGAAGCCGCGGAGAGGGAAAGGGAGGCAACTGCCACCCTGGAAAGCCACCGCCGGGGACCAGGGTGCAAGAGGCTGGCCTACGCGCGCAACCTTCCCCCCTGATAGCAAGCCTACGGGCGCCAGATGTGGGACTAACTGCTGCCCCGCGCAAGGCTTGAGAGGGGTGCCGTGTTCATTGCACCGGCACAGCACCATTTGGCTGGACCGAGTGTCCCTAACACCCGGGGAGAGGAGTCCTGAGATGGCCACAGTCGCGCCGGGGTTCGCGGAAGATTGCGTTTTCGTGTTCCCGCGTCCCCGGCAAAGCGACAGCGCAAGTGCAACGTGGGTTTTTTAGTGGGTATCGTGTAACTCCCATATACCCTACCTGCCTACCCACAAGGCGGCAGGGGATCCATAAAGGATTTTTCCCAGGTAAAAAAAAGATTGCCAAGATTTGATTATATTAGATTTAGATTATTACCAACGTTTTAGTGCTAATAGTTTTTTTGAAGTCGGTTCTTTTTTTTGTTAAAAAGCTTTTTATTTTAATTGATTTAATTTTAATACTTAGGTATTATAAAATATGGGTAGACTAAGCAAAGACGCTGCTCGTATGAGAAAACGCGAATGAAAAAAACGATTAAAAGCAAATAAGGAAGAAAATCTCTAAGCATTTCAAATAGTGAGCCTGACTAGCGCGGAAACAGATTATTAGAAAAGATCCTATATGTTAACTACGTCGGTTAAATGACGATAATTAAGAAAATTACAATTGTCTTAGTTTAATTCGTACTCGTTTACGAAAATTTGACAACAGCTCAACTCAAATTGATTTACGAAACATCATAGATTTTGCCGATGATGTTGTAAAAAGTAAAGTAAAGTAACAGCCTATACATGTCCCACTGCTGGGCAAAGGCCTCCTCTGTAGAGAGGGTTTCAGGGCATAGTCCACCACGCGGCCCCACTGCGTATTGGCGGACTTCACATATCTTCGAAATATATTTTTTTGTTATTATTTCGAAAATATGCAGGTTTCCTCACAATGTTTTCCTTCACCGCGGAGCACGTAATAAGTCAGCACTTAAATTTAAAAACTTCATTGGTGCCGGCACCGGGGATCGAACTCAGGTTGCTCGAGTATATTGTACTAAAGGCGAGCGCCCGGACACTGAGCTATCACGGCTCTATGATGTTGCAGCTCGAATTTATCCCCAAAGAGAATGTAATCATTACGTTTATCCCACTCTCAGACAAGTAGACACAATGAACACATGAAAGCTAAGAACGCGAAAACAACATATTAATTGTGTATGTACGATGTTATTTTGTGTGATTGAGCAAATTAATACATATTTATGCATTATCAGCAATCGCGATTGATTTGCTGTCATTATTTGAAGAGTTCTGTTGTCTATCTCCGAAACTTATCATCAGATATAATTATGTAAAATTTATATAGGACCATTTCGGATGAGAAACCCTTTCGAACGAAAAAAGGATTTTGCAATTCCATCTATATTTGACGGAGTTATGCCTGGACATACTTAAAAAATAATATAATCCCTATATATACACATCCGAATTAATAACTTCCTTCTTTTTGGAGTCGGTTATGAGACATTTATAACTTATTAATTCATTAAAATAAATTGAATTATTATTAGTTATTTTAAAGATTTCTTTTTAGTTTTACATCATTTTCTTTTAACTTTATCTCAGAATATAATTCAATGACATATATTCTTGAATAAAAATAAAAAAATTGAACTTCGCAAGTGTTGCTACTTGCGAGGTTCCTAAATTAAACCACAGTCTTGTCAGTCCATACATTTGATGGAGCTTGCTCAGTCCGTTTAGTTCCATAAATCAAAAGTCCTTGATTTAAATGCAAAACAATTTCTAACTATTATAACATTAAATTAAAAATAAAATTGTCTTTTATCACTTCCGTCTGACGTCCACCTGCTTTGGACGTCCGATATACGGACGTCGGATCGGAGAATGTTCTCAATGATCGCGGCTTGCCTTGGTGATATCAGAAAAGTCAAAAGTAAAAAAATAATTTGGACGTCGGTTCATCGGCAATCTTGCGTTTCTGTTTATTCCTTTAGTTCCACTAGATTTCGTACCAAAAACTAACGGCGCTGTCGTCATTATTCTAACCTTTGATTGCTAGCCGTATGTGACGTCCAGCGATAGATCGAAATGCGACGTTGCGACATCGTGCACACCACTTGAATGTATACGATTTTGTTAATTGTTTATTATATTCGCGATTCGTGAGTATCTATATATTGATATGTGATATTGCGTCCGCCTTTTTAAGCGAAATGGATTGTTTTCATTTTGAGTAGATACTATTTTATAATATGAATTCAAGT